AATAACATGTATTAAAGTTATACAATGAAGAAAATTATTAACAATTATGTTTGTATGCATATTGAAATAATATTTATAGTTAAAGGTCATAATTTTATTATATAAATATTTAACTATGATTGCTTAGAGCACATCATTACACAAGTTAATTTTATTTAATAATAAATAATATTATCTTTCATTTTAATTAAGTCACAATTTAATATTTATATACGAAGGTAAATGTTTATCTATTTGTTGTATTTTATTAACTTCAAGTTATGCATATTTTTTGTAATTAATAATTTATAAAATAAAAACTTTTGAATCAATTAAAACTAAAAATTTTAAGAACCTATATATTTGGTACCTTACTATTAATTTATGTTTTAATGTTGAATATTTAATTTTTACTTCAAAAAATACGAATTATGTATCATGAATTTTTTTTATTTTATCCTACCATTTAAAATTTTTATTCCTAAAACATTTTGTATGATTAATGATTATGTTTTGCCGACCAAAAACATGGCCATGTCGTCTCCGGTAATTATTAAGATTAGATGCTTCGTTCCGTGGAGTTATTAGCCATAGAACGTTTGGTCCCCGGTAGATATACTTTGATAATAGGACATTGGGTTCTCAGGTTTTTTTAAATCATTATTATTTATTTATTTCTTCAAAGTTCATTATTTTATTAACAATTAATACATTTATTTTTAATTAACAATTCTGAAATGTCTAATATAGTATATAGGCTATATGTAGGTAAGTAATAAAGACATTTTATAATATTTAAAAATTTAAGTCAGTTGACCTAAAATAAATATATAATTTATCTTAATAACGTAGTATTTAATTTTAATTGATTCATTTTTACTTAATATAATTTTGATTTATCTAAATCTTGACTACCTATTTGATTATATTGTATGAACATTAATTATATATTTGTATATTTTGTAGTATTGTCATTTAAACATTAAATATAAATTATAATTATTTAGATTATCAATGTATACCGAGGTCCGGGGTCCAAACGTCCAATGATTAATATCTCTCTTGCACGAAATGTCCTATTTCAATAACTGCCGGGGACGAAACTCCGGGGGCGAAACATCCGCAATTCCAATCAGTTGGCTTCACAGTTTACAGTTTACAATGGTACGGATTATCTTTTTAATATTATCATATACATACAACACTTTGTTTTAACAACATTGTTATTTTATATGTTTACTACTATGAACAAAGAAAAGTCTGTGGTTATAACTTATAACTAAAGAAAATTATAAAACTTTTAAAAATTAAAATCATTATTACCGCCAATTTCTTTTGTTTATCACTTCCAAAGACTCTAACACTCAAGTGTAATACTATGTATCCAATATCTTTGGTATAGGAGATTATAAATGTGTCGGTGTGATTACATTATGCGTTTACCGACGTTCAGAGTCCCAACAGTTTCGAGTTCGGATGTTCCGTTTTGTTTGTTTGGAATAATAACTCGCGTTTTCTTAATTTCTACATTTTGGTATTAATTGAATTGAGCTATTTCTACTCAAATTAACAATTCAATGTAAGATGTAATAATTCGTCTCATTTGTGTCAATTTAATTTAAATAGTAAGTTATTTATATTATGTTTGTATGGTTATACACTAGGAATAATAATATATATTGTCTTATACAATAATAATACTTATTTTTTTATTTCAATAGATTATGTCTATTCCACCATTTATGTTGGGCGGACACCAATGGGCCCAGATCATTCAGCAGCAGCAACAAATTGCTGCTGTGCAAGCACAAGCTCAAGCCCAGGCTGCACATGCACAGGCAGCAGCTGTACATGCTCATATGCATGTTGCTCAACAAATGGCTATGCATCAAATGTCTTCAGCTCCACCTCACCGAATACCTGAACCATTAAGTGAAGAGAAATTACAAGAAAAATGTAATTTTGATTAATTGTTTTTTTCGAATTAATTGTCCTATAGTCACTTATTATCTATGATAACTTTTTAAATGTTGAAATTTTACAGCACAAAAATGGCAACAAATTCAATCTAAAAGATTTGCACCTAAGCGTAAATTTGGTTTTGTTGATGCACAAAAAGAAGATATGCCTCCTGAACATATACGTAAGATAATAAGGGATCATGGCGACATGAGCAGTCGAAAGTATCGTCATGATAAAAGAGTTTACTTAGGGTATGTAAAATAAAATAAAGAAGTATTTAAATAAATTTAATTGATTTTAAAAACTGATTTTGGTTTTAAGACAAGTAATTTAACCACATTAGCTCTTAGCTTTTTGAAGAAGTTTTTAGTTCTAGTTTTGTAATAGGTATGTTTTGTTGATCAGTATATTGTTCATCTTGATTCACTTTTTAAATTTAACACTATTTAATTGTATTGGCTTTCTTATCGTATATGTGCTTAAAAATAAGCAATAAAAGAATTTTTTTAAATAAAGTATCAAATTTTCAGTTGATTGTCTTATCTTATATTTTCATATTAAGAGGCAAAAGAGTACATAATTAATATTTTTAATTCATGTGTAAATAAGTTAGTTTATTTAAACTGTAAATATCAAATTAAATGGAAACTCAAAAATATCATTGTGTAATCAAGATTTAAATTCTTATGTATGTATGTTAGAACTTGAAAATAATATAAATAAAAAAAATAAATGTGTTAATGTGATTAATATGCTGTTTCCAAAATAAAATTATCAGCATACTGACTATATTATAAGTATAATCATGTACAAAGCATATTTTAATTGCCATCGCAGCGTTTCCGATTCAATTCCTATTTGCCCGAAATAATAGAAACTTAAAAACTATTAATCATTGAATATGTTAGTATCAACACAAATTTTTTATGTATATCACTTACAATTATGAAATATTAAGTGCAGTAAGTCTCAAGTTTTTTTAATTTCTGGTTATATTTATTTATTTATCATTATTAATACAACAATCATATATTAAATAAATCAGTGTTTAATTATGTATACTAATACTTATTGATTGTACTTAAATATTTGTTATTTTATTAAAATTGAAAAAAATATTAGTTATAAATTACTTAATGTGATTAATTATCTTTAAATATCTAATGTGGTTTTAAAATGTAAAAAAATAATAATGAATATAGTAAAATTAATATTTTTATTTAGAGCTCTGAAATATATGCCACATGCTGTTTTAAAATTATTGGAAAATATGCCCATGCCATGGGAACAGATTCGTGATGTAAAAGTTTTGTATCATATAACTGGTGCAATTACTTTTGTTAATGAAATTCCATGGGTGATTGAACCAGTTTATATTGCTCAATGGGGGTAAGTCAGTTTATTTTTAATATTATCTTGATTAAATAGACGTAACCTACTTATCATTTTGTTTTATTTTCAGAACTATGTGGATAATGATGAGAAGAGAAAAACGTGATAGGCGTCATTTTAAGCGGATGCGTTTTCCTCCATTTGACGATGAAGAGCCACCCTTAGATTATGCTGACAATGTATTAGATGTTGAACCTCTGGAAGCTATTCAGATTGACTTGGATACTGAAGAAGATGCTGCTGTAGCAAAATGGTTTTATGATCATAAACCACTTGTTAACACAAGGTATATAACAAATAATATTTATTCATTTAAAATTATTTTACTTAATCTTAACTGTATTTATATTTAATCAATTAATTATATAATTTTTTTAGGCATGTTAACGGATCTACATATCGTAAATGGAATTTAACTTTACCGCAGATGGCTACATTATATAGATTAGCTAATCAACTTTTAACAGATCTTGTTGATGATAATTACTTTTATTTATTTGACCCAAAGTCATTCTTTACTGCTAAAGCATTAAATATGGCTATTCCCGGAGGACCAAAATTTGAACCACTTATCAAGGATTCGAATCCATCGTAAGTTTTTAACTTTTATATGTGTATTTTAGCAACATTTTTTAAATTTTGTATATTTTAGTTTTGTTCGTGACGAGGATTGGAATGAATTTAATGATATTAACAAGATTATTATAAGACAACCTGTAAGAACTGAATATAGAATTGCATTTCCATATTTATATAATAACCTTCCTCATTATGTTCATTTATCTTGGTGAGTTTTATTCATTAAGAATAATTTATTTTTATTTATATTTTAACACACAATTTTTTGTGTAAAAATTTTAAAACTAACACACAAGTTTTGAAAACTTCATAAAAATATTTGAAGTTTTTACTAATGTGTGTAATATTAATTTACATAATCGTTGTAGCAAGCTAGATAAAAGACAATCTAATTTAGCGCTGATAGTTATGAACAATTTAGTATTTAAAAAATAAATATTTTTATGAATATTTAGAAGGCTATAGCTGTATGATTTATCAGTGATAAATTATCACTATTTTAAAAACAAGAAAACATGTGATTGTGTATTCTAATATTTAATAACATCTCTAAAACAGAATGTTTGGATTTAATTTTATTTATTAATAAAAAAATATGATATTTATAATTAATAATAAACTAAATAATACTCAAATTAATTGAATTTAGGAATGTGCCTAAATAATATAAGAAATATTTTTTATAATTTAGTATTTTAAAAGCTGTGATGAATTGCGTAGGGGCTCTGATATTGGATGCAAAATGATGCCCAACTGTTGGTTTTTTAATGGATTTTGTCTGTGACATGTCTATTTTAAAATCAATAGGAAAATGCGCATTTCTGAGCATATTTTGTTATGATGATTAGCACAGGGGTCTGATATCTGTATTAATGAATACAGAC